ATTTCTTGTACCATAATATGATAAAAAAAATAAATGCTATAATTCCTTTATAATACAAAAATAAGTATCTAAATATAAATAAATAACTGAATTAAAAAATTAAAACAAAAGTTATTTTTTCCTGAAAGTTTGGGCCAAAAACATGGGTACGCACTATATGTGGCAAAATGTGATATTTCTAAAACAGCCTCCATCCTGCCAGGCATCCATGCTATCCCTGTAGTAGGCAGGATAATGGCCCCTGAAGATTCCCTAAGCCACAGAACATGCGACTATGTTATTTCACATGGCAAAGGGACTTTGCAGGAGTACTAAGGTTAACGACCTTGAGATGTGTAGATTACCCTAGATTTCTCAGGTAGGTCCAGTCTAATCATGAATCCAGGCAACTAGATAGGTACAGCACAAAAAAGGCACCATCCACCGTTGCTGGTTTTGAAGGAAGGAAGCACTGCCCAAGGAATGTAGGCAGCCTCTTTGATCTGGAAAAGACACAACACATTGCCCCCTAGAGTCTCCAGAGAGAAATGCATTCTGCCTACACCTGACTTCAGCCCAGTGAAATCCACCTCTACTAAATAAGTAAATTTAAGCTACCAAGTTTGTGGTAATTTGTTATAGTAAATACAGTCACATATGTATTCCCTATATGTAGAACTTTATTCCCTACCTTAACTCCCTGGTAAATGCTTTGTTTCTTTAGGTCTGCTCAAATTTCACCTTCTCCATGAAGACTTCTCAAGGGCAACCCTCCTGTCAATTTCTGTGGGTCAGTCCATCTTCTTTGCTCCCAAATCTCTTTGTATTTATGGTAATTTAACATATTGTGATTGTTGTTATAAACAGAACCCCATCATCCTCCCACATACTACCTATCCTTGACAGCAGAGACCAAGCCTTTTCATCAAAGCACAGGGTCTAGCATATAACAGGTACTCTCAAGGGATGAGGAAGGGAGAGGGAAAAGAAGAGAGAGAGAAAGAGAGAGAGAGAGAAGTAGACAGATTAAAAAACTGAAGTCTCAGGCTTGAGTTCTAAAAGAAGGTAGAGAAAACATAAAAGAAATCAGGTTATAAAAATGTAAAACTCTTGGTAAAATGTCAAAATATGATCTAAGCACCCTGATTTCTAAGTTTGCAATATGCCATGAATCATTGCTTTGCTAGTGTAATGCTTGGAGGGGGGTAGTGAATGAGTATTTAATGATCTATTTGAAATTACCATCAACTTTTGGTCAAGATGGAAGCATAGGTAAACACAGCTCGCCTCCTTGCACAACCACATCAAAATTACAACTAAAATATAGAACAATTATCACTCAGAACCATCCGAAATTGAGTTGAATGGAAGTCTGACAACTACAGAATTAAATAAACCACATCCATCCAAACTGGTAGAAGAGGCAGAAATGCAGAATGAGCTCATCCCACATTCATATGTGGTGGATAAAAATTCAGGAGGGATTTCTCAGGAAAAAGGAGTCCCAGTCCCACCCCAGGCCCCCATCCCAGGGTTCCAGTGCCAAGGAGATAAGTCCCCATAACTTCTGACTGCAAAAATCAGCAGGGATTGAGTCAATCAAAGAAAGTTCTGGAGTCCCAACAGTTCCCTTTAAAGAACCCATACATGGACTTACTCAGATTTAGCTCCTCTGAGCTCTAGCACCAAGACAGTGGCTTAAAAAGCACCAGTTGCACACAGGGAGGAACTGAAGTGTCTGGCATCAAGGCAGGAGCTGGAGGACAGCTTTCTTCCAGAAAGAAAGGTGGGCAGAGGCCATCATCCCTTTTCTGAATCCTCCCTACATGGAGCCATAGGTAGGCAGGCAGGTATCATAATTGAGACTCCATCAACCTGGCTAACACCATTTACCCTGCCCTGGAGATCCCCTGAAACTGCTTACCCCTAAAATATGTATGACTTGCTTTGGCTCATGCTTCACAACTTCCTAAATCCTATCAAACAAGCAACAGCCCACCTCACTAAGCCTCCAGGCCCTGCAACTCTTGTTATGTGAACCCAGGCATGGCACTAGCAGCAGCCAGCCTAGATTCACAGCTAGGTTTCACCAGGGAATCTCCAAGCCCAGCACAAGTAGCAGCCATCTCAGATTACTTTATAGCCCATGCAGGGTGGACCCAGGAAAAACACAGTTGGGGGCTGACCTTGCTCTGCACCACCTGGGAAACCCCAGAGCCTGCTCACCCAGTGGGCAGCTACAGACCATGTTGGAGCACCAGCACCTTGCCCCTGCACAGCTGATCCTCCACAGAGGGTGGGGGTTGGTAGTAAGTGGTCATAGCCAGTCCTTGCAGCTGACTAGCCTGGGTAAATCCCTCCCATTGACCTGCCAACAGCAATCAAATCTCAACTTCAAGAGGAAGGTGTACTCAGCCCCCACAAAGGGTACCTCGAGTACCCGGCTTGTGTAATAGGGGAGGCTGTGCCACTGGACCCTACAGGACACCTATTACATTAGGTCATGCTACCAAGACAAGGAGTCATAGCAGCTCTACCTAATACATAGAAACAAACACAGGGAGGCAGCCAAAATGAGGAGACAAAGAAACATGATACAAATGAAAGAACAGATCAAAACTCCAGAAAAAGAACTAAACAAAATGGAGATAAACAATCTATCAGAAACAGAGTTCAAAACACTGTTTATAAGGATGCTCAAGGAACTTAATGAGGACCTCAAAAGCATAAAAAGATCCAGTCAGAAATGAAGCATACGTTAATTGAAATACGGAACAATTTACAGGGAAATAACTGTAGAGTGGATGAAACCAAGAACTAAATCAATACTTTGAACATAAGGAAGAAAAAAACAACCAAACAGAACAGAAGAAAAGAGAATCCCTGTGTGGTGATTGCAGAGGGGAGGGGGATATAAGGGTACTAAATGGTAATATAAAAAATATAAGATTATATATTTAAAAAAAGAAAAAGAAAAATGAATCCCCCCCAAAAATGAGGATAGTGTAAGCAGCCTCTGGGGCAACTTCAATCATTCCACCATTTGTACCATGGGGTGCCAGAAGGAAAAGAGAAAGAGCAAGAAATTGGAAATCTATTTGAAAAAATAATGAAAGAAAATTTCCCTAATTTGGTGAAGGAAATAGACATGCATGTCCAGGAAGCGCAGAGAGTCCCAAACAAGATAGATGCAAACAGATCCATACCAAGACACATCATAATTAAAATGCCAAGGGTTAAAGATAAAGAGAGAATCTTAAAAACAGCAAGAGAAGTGCAGTTAGTTACCTATAGGGGAATTCCGATAAGATTGACAGCTGATTTCCCAAAAGAACTTTATGGGCTAGAAGGGATTGGCAAGAGATATTCCAAGTCATGAAAAGCAGGTTCCTACAGCCAAGATTGTTCTACCCAGCAAAGATATCATTTAGAATAGAAGGGCAGACAAAGAGCTTCCCAGACAGGAAAAAAAACTAAAGGAGTTTATCATCACCAAACCATTATTATATGAAATGTTAAAGGGATTTATTTAAGGAAAAGATGAAGATCAGAACTATGAATGATAAAATGGCAATAATTTTATATCTATCAACAATTGAGTATAAAAAACAAACTAAACAAGAAGAACAGAGGCAGAATCATGGATATGGACAGCATTTTGATGGTTGTCCAATGGGAAGGGGGTATGGGGAAATGGGTGAAGAGGTGAGGGGATTAAGAACTACAAATAGGTAGTTAGAGAACAGCCATGGGGATGTAAAGTATAGGAAATGCAGTAGCATATAAGTAGAACTTATACACATGACCCATGGACATGAACAGTAGGGGGGGTGTTGCCTGAAGGAGTAGGAGTGCTGGGTGGAGAGAAGCAAAGGGGGAAAAATTGGGACAACTGTAATAGTATAATTAATAAAATATAATTTTAAAAAATAAATAAATAAATGTATAAAATTACCTCTGCTAATTTGTTAACTATTGGATGGGAAGAGAATATTCTCTTTTTTATGATGAGCCTTGGACTTCCCTACCCCACTCCACTCAGTCCCAGGTGATGGATTTGGGGTCCCTGGTGCCCTTTAGCTCTTCTGAGGGCTGTGTTTTTCCAACTTAGATCTATCTCCTAGAGGGCTTGTTAGAACAACTTGTCAGACGATTTCAGAGTATCTGATTCAGTAGATCTGGAGTAGGGACACAAAATTTCATTTTTAACAAGTTTCCAGCAATATGGAAGATGTTGGTCAGAGAACACACCCAGACCTCTGGTTCTGGCCACTTCTGGCTTCTCTGGACAGTCTAAGAAGACCTCACTTCAGAGTCTAGGCACTAGCCAGCATCCATTGGCCCAAGCCCCAGGTAAATAATGATTTCCTTCCCCTCGCCAAGCACACAGAGGTCTTTCTTATGAACCAGACCCTCAATTCAGCTTCAGTTTCCTCAGTGCTTAATCCTTTCTAACTAACATTGTGACACCTCTCCGTTGACTGAAACCCAGAGCCTGATCATTAAAACAGATCCGGCCACAGCATCCGGACCCTGGGAAGCAGTGGGCAGCCAGAGAGCTGGGAAATCCAACAGCTTTGAAAGCAGATCCAACAAGATCATATTACAATTTGGATGCAATCAGACAGAAATCCATTAATTTCTTTACCTAGAAATAAAATATTGTTTCTAAGTGGGTAAAACTTTTCCAAAATATACCTAAAAGTTCTCTCTCAATTCTGTATGGCCTGGAAGTACTCTTTACATTGGAATCAAAGCAATATTACCCGCCTTTCCACATTTCTCATCGTTTAGACAGACTATGTTCCTTCAGAATCAGATGGTCCAGACTCCTCCCCCTATAACACACTTCTCAGTTCCCCGGAAAAATAAACTCAGTGAGATATAGCAGAGATTCTAAGAAAGAAGAAGGAGAGTCATCCCAAAAATTATGGTGGGTCAAGTCTAGCCAGAGCAGAACTATCTGCAGAATGGACAGAGGGGAAGCCAGACTTTCTCTGAGAACTACAGACTTCCCTTACCAATGGATCCCCGCGGCGGACAGATGAAGGTCTTTTATGGCTCTGATAGGCATCCAAGTACATCATGACTGTGTCAGTAGGGTCACCTCACCAACCCTAGATCACTGACATTCTTGAAACCTAGAAAAAAAAGGGAACTGAACATCAAAGCAAAAAAAAAATTCCAAATTTCACAGTATTCCAAAGTGCAATAAATTACTTTTCACACTGTCTGCCGCTTGCTCTTATCAATCCAGCACTCCTCTGGACAAACAAGACTTACTGCCATTGAGTCAAACCTGAAATGGGCCTTTCCTTGCAGCTTTAAGGCCTTTGAATTGGATATTTACAGCCATGTTTCATCCCTGGTCTCCACAAACCAAGAAATGCGAATTTTTGCCACTGATTCCCCATAGTCTGAAATTCATAAAACCGAACTTTTCAGGCATTTGAATAATATTTTTAAATGTATTCAACATTACATTCAAATTCCTTTCCCAGGACGCTGTTTTCATTCCAGACTGGCCACCACAGACCTCCACAGTCGGCAGAATTTTCAGACATGCATAAATATAAGTGCACACAGCCATTTACTCTGCTGAAATTTCACGTACACAGGGAGATTATTTTTAGTTATGGAACCCAGTCAAAACTGTATAAAGCAAAATCAAGCAAAAGCAAAATTGGTAGACAAAGTGATGATCTTATTTTTTTTCTTCTATTTGTATGTTCTTTTCTAGACATTTCTAGGCACATGTCAAGAGAAATAAATGCCTTAACAAAGGCAGTTTTGATGATAATGATGGCAACATCAGTAGTCAAGTTATTCCCCAACATTTTTGTTCAATACAAAATCCACATAGAGACTAATCACATTTATCCAGATAACCATGACTTTCCAAACATATCAGAGCAAAGTTAATTTGCCCTTTGGGGAAAGGAAAAAAACAAAACATTCATCAGATACATAAACAGTCAAACAAAAACGACTGAAAATCCACTAGAATATATACTCCCTAAGGGCTAAGACTTGGTCTGTCTTGTTGATCGCTGTAGTTCCAACACCTACAATGATAACTGGCACATAGTAAATCAACTGGATCAATAAAATCAAGGTTTACACACTCCATTGTATGGCTAACTAATCAATGTGCTAGATCCTGTCAGTCAGCTATTGTCACAGTAATGCTATGTGGCAAACAACCATGGAGTCTCAGTGCCATACAAGAAGCTTTTTCCTCTTGTTCACACTTCTGTTGGTTGGGTGGAGTTCAGTCAATCTAGGTTGGGCTCCGTTGGGTTCAGGATGGCTCTTTGTGTCCGTCATCCTCTTCGGACCAATAGCACCTGAACCGTGGTCTTCTCTCAGAAAATGGAGGAGTACAAGAGGTCAAACCAAACCACAAGCTCTTTTTGAGTCTCTGCTTTTGTGTCTATGAATATCACACTGGCAAAAGCCAAGTCACATGGCCACTCCCAGCATCCCTGGGGACAGGGGAATGTCATCCTGTGGAAACGAGTGGGGGAGGGAAGGAATGTCTCCCACAGATCAGCATTTCTAAAACTTGCATAAGGTAATTTCTTTTTAAAGAAAAAAAAAATTCCTCAAGGACCTCTGGGGTTAGCCAAAGTTATTTTTATTATAATTCACTTAAACATATAGAAATACAAAATGACTTACAGACATCTTCTGCTGATAGTCTCATACCACTATACAAATAAATATACAAATTAAACTCAGACAAAACTGCAATACCAATAAAACAAAATATCATCTGTGCCAGGTAAAGGATGATGTCATTTTGCTGACACTAAATTGTTGCTTTCAGTTTGACTGTGGAGCTGATTGTTATGGCCCAGGTTCCTTGCCACTCATCATGCCTGTGCAGCTATAAGCTAGAAGAAGACCCCATTTCTCAAACATGTTTTTCTGTCTCTGAAAAATAGCACTCTTTGGTATCATTGATGCAAATGCACTATTTTTATATCAAGACTGCTTCTATATCCTGCTCATTAGGCCATGACAATTAGTGAATTTCTACTCACCACCAATGCATCAGAAAATCCAAATGCACCAAAATGAATGAAGATCCATCAGTGGTGTGGTATTACGCATTTTCAGATGATGCAGAATAGGGACATATTTTTAAGATCATTATTTAAATGAAACTTCAAATTATGCAGTTCTCATTGAGAATCCCCCAGAGAAACACAGACCTCGGCTTGAGAAACGCTGAGCTGGCCCACGCTCTCCAGTGTGTGGCTTCCTGACCGTCGTGTATTATGAAGCCGCTCAGTGCAGCCCTGTGTTTCAGAATCCACAGCTCCATCTGTTGCCTCCTTATTGCTCACTCACAGTTACTAACCCGTCCACTATGACCCCAAGCCGTGCTCTAAGAGCTCAAAAGTACTCTTGATAAACTGTGTAAAACTAAATAGGACAGAGAGATTAGGAAGAAGGAGGCCTGAGAAATACAACATTTCATTGTCAGGGGTGGACATCTATCAGCATCCATCCTACCAGCACCCACTGGGACTACCCTCCTCAGCTTAGCAAACCTTCCGGCAAGGGGATGGGCAGAATCGTAAAGCCGCCTCATTCTTCCAGGAATTTCAGAATCTCCAGAGGAAGAATGCTAGGGTGGAAAATGACTGTTACCATTCATCCTGATGTTAGTCCTGAAAAGATTATATCCCTTAGTTCTCCAATAATGAGAATCCCAGAGTTGCCCAGTTCCCTTTCTGGGGCCTTTTACATACAACTCATGCTTTTCCTTCACTTCTGGGAGCAGCCCCATAGCCTTCCAATGGATTCCTTTTTGGTTTGAGTAGCCCGAGTTGGTTTCTGTACCTCAACTGCTAAATATTCCAACATGAATTTCTAAACATAAACAATCTCAAACAAGGCAATGATTACAAGAACAAATGCAACTGTGTTTGCCTTTAGATTCCCAAAACAGAAGTGATCTCATCCCCAAATGCTGTTTATGCTGTATATTCAGCTGCTGAAGCTCAGAGTTAACCCTTCCTCTTCCATCCTCTGGTCCCAGAGCCCTGGGAACCCCCTACCAAGAGGCCAGGACACTGACAAAGGTCACTCCCCCATACTGCTAGGGTCTGGGGCAAGGGTGGCTGGAGGCTCATGCAAGCCAGGCTCATACTCCTTTAACCCATCCCCAGACCCTTCAAACAGGTGAGACTGGGGCAAGGAAGGCCGAGGGAGAACCAACAGATAGCTCTTCGCGCCTCCCTGGCACAAACCAGATTCCAGTCTTCCAAGTACCAATAATACTGAATCACTTTATATTCTTTCAGTCTTTGTATGAACACTGCCCCGCCTCCCTTCCTGACACATTTGTCAAGCCCTTCCTATTTCTACAGCTGATGGAGGTCAAAAACAAACAGCATCCCACAGACAGAGAGCACCTTGGGGATAGAAACTGTCTTATTAACCTCTGAAACCTCACGGTCAAGCACAGTATTTACACGTAGTGTCTGCTCAATGAATTGAATCTGTTCATTGTACTGGATGACTGAATCAATTACGCAGCCAACCCAAGGATGTACACAGGCATTTCTGGAATACCATCATTTCATCATCGTAAAAATAGCAGACACTAATATGGCACCTACTCTGTGCCAGCCACTGTTCTAAAAATCTTCACATATTAACATTCAATTCTCAATACAGCCCTGGAGGTAGTTGCTATCATCATTCTAATTTTACAAATGAGGAAAGAGTATAGAGATGTTAAGTAACTGGCTCAAGGTCACCCAGGAAGGAAGGGGCAGAGTCAAATGCAAACCCAAGCAGTCTGGCCCCAGAGCCCCTGTTCAAAGCCACTGCATTGCACTGTCTCTCACATGACAAGAATGTGTCAGGCCAAGTCCACCACAATGCCTGGAGAGGAAAGGTCCTGACTTAATTCCCCACACACCTGAAAGAGCAGGTGCTGAGACTGGCTTAAGAAGGACAAACACCAATCTAGCAAAAAAAAGGAAGAGAGAGAAAGATCTCATGGACGTGAACAACAGTGTGATAATTGCTGGGGGCAGGCAGGGGGTGGGTTGGGAGGGGGGATGGGGGATAAACGGTGGTGGGGAAAAAATAAATAAAAAATAAAACAAATGTACAAAAAAGAAGGGCATGCACCATTCACTCCTATTCCTTCTAGCACATGCTCCAAAGGGACTCGAGATACAGTGGAGGAAGAAACAGCTACATGTGTATATTTTAAACATATTTCATCCTGAACTCCTCAGGTGCCTACCTAATCTCCTACCCATTAATTGCCAGTATTAACCACGTCCACTGAGAGACACTTAATGAAATGTAACACACATTAAACCAAAGCTGAAGTTACTCTTGGAACAACTTAGTTTTGGTTAACATGAGAATATTTCTTATGTTCAATTTGATGTCTAAAAATAGACAGAAGGAAGATACATATACTGTCCTATGAGATGCTGATGACAGGACGATTCTGAAAAGAGGCTTTTTCCAAACTGTGGCTGAAGATGAGAACTGAAACAGAAACAGCAACACCCCTTACTGTCATTAAGAGTGAAGCTAACCAACGAAAGGAAAAGCTAAATCAAAAGCACTCAGTGCAAATTAATAGAAACACCAGAAACAGCCTTACTTCGTTGTTCATGAAATGCAATTCAACAACATTGAGTTGTATCTCTCAGTTGTCCCTCCCAATAAATGGTCAAACACCTACCTGCACAGCTGCTCAAAGCCAGGTACAGTTGCAGGGCTGTGGGGAAGGAACACACACACACACACACACACACACACACACACACACACAGAGCATACATAAATGCCTTAGCAAGCTAACCATTGTCTATAGCAACTAAACTGAGCTTCTGCTGTACTGATGATATGAAATACACAAAAATTACATAGCACACAGAAACACAAACTTTCCATTGTGGATGTTTAAGCCAGCGTGCAGAGTTCAATGATTTCAGCAGGAAGTGCCCTTGCAAAGTGCCCGGTGCAGAATGAGTCCCGTAATGGAAGCCCACGCTTTATTTTTTGTTCTGTGTGTCCTCATCCACTTATGTATTTGCTCAATTGGCTATGATTTATGGAGGACCTGGGCCTGCTTCAATTTGAGAT